ATGCTTGCCCTGCAAATCTCGTTAAAGGACGCGTTCATTTACTGGAAGTCTCCAGCATGCTGCTCTGAGCAATTCTCATGCTGTCTGCAGGCGCTCTGCCCTCCTGGCTGCTCTATTAATTTCTTTTAGCAAGCTCCCTGATTTCTATGCAGTTCCCTTGATGAAGTCAAGCACGACTCAAGTGGCTTTTCCGCTCGGCAGAGCAGCTCTTCAACAGCACTCTTCTAAATTGCCAGGGATAAAGACCCGAGTCCGCCCCCCCCGCAGGTTCCCCCACCAGCCTCTCCAAGAAACTCAATTACCAGTGGCTAAAAATCATGGTGATTTTCATCACCACCACATTTTCCTGGTCTCCCATGTCATGGTGTCCCCCTTCCCCATCTGTTACTCCCCTCCAGCCACGTAACCATGGCAGCTGCTGTTTGTCCCTTGACACAGTCCCTGTGGGTACAGCTAAGCCATTTGTCTGTCATCCCTATGGCCCCTGCACCCATACCCTCATGCAAAATGGGGCTGCCCTGCCACCCTTTCTCACCCCTCCAGGTGTCACAGCACAGGGTGCTGCTGGGGCAACGCTGGTTCCTGGTGCCCCAGGTCCATCTCTGAGCTCCTTGTCCCTGCTCTGGACTGGCTTTGTCATGCTCATCTCTGTTCCAGTTGCATGGGACAGGTACCTGTGGTATAGTACTGCCCTGGAGCAGGGACCTGGAGAGATGGCCCATGGCAGGAACAATGCAGGAGCATGCACTGGGGCTGGGCTTGCTCTGTCTGTAGCTGTATCTCCTGCTTGCAGGTACCTGGTTCCCACCTGACTGTTGCCCAGCACCCTGCAGACAGGGGCTGAAGCTTTGAGGGGTCCCTGACATGGGATGAGAGCTGGGGATGGCAGTGGGGAAGGTGAGACACAGGGCTAGGGGGTGGGGAAGAAGGGGAGGTGATCAGTCAGACTCCCCGTGGGTTAATCCAGGAGAAACAGGGTCCCTTTGCATGCTCAGAGCTGCTCCTCCCAGGCTGACTGTGGCGGGGACACTGTCTGAAGGGCTGAGGGACAGCTGGGGACAGAGCAGGGCAGGAGCCTCCAGCACCTGCGATCTGTGAGGCGCTGCCAACCGTGGGTGATGAATGGGTCTGCATGGGGAGGGCGGTTGAGGCTTGCTACTCTGATGAGAAAATCATCAAGTGGCTGCAGGGTGCACAGGGCAAATTGCAGAAGAAGAGAGCAGTGGACCATTCTCCAGCCTTTCATCATCTCCAGAGAAGCGTGGTGACAGCTGTACCCGGCCAGGGAGCAAGGTCTGGCTGCACCCATGGCAGGATTTACATTGACTGTGGTGGAAAGGCCTCATCTCACTGGGGCCTGGCAGCAGAGCCAGAAGGAGCGGGGTGAAGGCTGCCCAGGGCAGCAGTGGGGGATCTGAGGAGGCAGGGAGCAAATGCCAGGGTGGGGACAGAGCAGGGTGCATCCCTCCCTACACACCTGTCCCTGCACCCAGGCACCAGCAGCCACTCTGCCACCTGCATCCCACAGCTCCAGGGCTAGCAAGGGCTATGGCACCCTCCTGCACCCAGAGGGACCCCGAAGGCTGGGACCTTTCACCAGCCCTCACCTGCTGCAACCTGCTTGGGCATGCAGGAGTGGGGAGAGGAGGAGGGATGATGGGTCCCGCCTGCATGCACGCCTCCCGCTGCAGGGCTCAATAGTTCAGGCCTGACACATTAAAGTTGTATGTTGTGCAATTGCAGTCTGCAACGACAGACTGAGTCAGGACTGCTGTCTGGTGAGTCTGGCCTGGCAGACATGGGCAGGCAGCGGCAGGAGGGTCCAGGGGCCCTGCAGGGAAGGCAGGCTGCAGGCAACGGGGAGAGCATCTCTGCAGTGGGAGTTAGGGTTGGAAGGAGGAGGTTATGAGAAGCAGTCCCGGCCTTTGGGATATATATTTTCAGGGAGCGTGTGTCGGAGCATGTGCCCTGTGGCACTGACAGCCCAGCAGGCAGGACAGGACTGGGGCACAGGAGGCTGAGCTGGCGTGATGCTGTCCCCACGGCCACCCACTTCTCCTGTGTCTCCTGTGTCCCCTACAGTCTCCCTGGCAGGACAGAACCCACAAAGACTTGTGCTGCCCCAGGCACGTGGCCAAAACCCTTCCCAGCTGTCTGTTCCCACATCCCTGCTGCCACCTGCCTTGCTGGGGCTCAAATACCACCATCCCTCCCCAGCACCGAGGAAGCGAAGCTCTTCACCGGCTGTTTGGGGAGTCGGTTGCCATGGAGATGTCAGATGTACCTGGTTGTTATAGGGACACTGTTGCTATGGTTATGTGGTTGCTGTGCCTGGCAGAGGCAGAGATGGAGCATCAGGAAGGCTGTTTACACTGGGGGGGTGGGAGTTATAGAGACCCCAACTTTCTGAGCAAGGGGGGAACAGTCCAGCCTTTGCCCCAGGTATGAGATGTGATGAGGCTGGAGATCATGGGGAGCACACTGGAAAAAGCTCACACAGCCGCACAGAGACAGACAGGCTGGTGTTCCTGACCCCACAGCAAAGAGGAGGTGGCTGAGGGCATGTGGAGTTTCCCATGGGGTGTTCCAGTATGCTCCCAGCCAGGCTCCATGCGAGAGATGGTGCCACACACCCTGCGCTGGGTGTCCCACAGGAGAAAGTGGCTTCACCATGCTTGTTGCCAGGACCACTGAGCAAAAACCTTTCAGTCCTACAAGATTGTATGTCCTGCACTTGCACCACACCACAATGCTCCCCCCCTGCTCTTGGGCAAGGGGCTGTGTTTCTGAGCCCCTGGGGCTGGGGACTGAAGTGGGGAGGGGTATTGCCAGCAGGTAGCCTACAGGCTCTGGGGCTGAGCTGGGCTGTCAGAGAGTGCCTGGATCCCCTCCAGTGCTGCTTGGCTGAGCTCCCTCCCCGCCAGCACGGTCGGCTGCTTGGCCTGTCCTTGAGATGAAAAATGCAGTCGCAGGTTTAATTAAAATGAGAGGGAGCACTGAGTCGTCCCAGCAGCTCAGAGAAGCGGAGTCCAGCAGAACCAGTGCGTGGCTTGGCTGGGCTTTCCTGGGCAGCTCTGCGGGCTAAAACTGCTGCCCGCCTCTGCCAGGACCCCTCAGGGTCCAGGCCTGCATGTGCCACCCCGTGGTGTCTGTCACGGGGCAGGACAGGGACTGGGCAACTTCTTGCAAGGAGAATGCACATCCTACCACACGGTCACTAGGCTCTGTTACTAGTGAGCAGCGGATTTGCACTTCAGCCCCACAGCAGTGAGCCAGAGCATGAGGGAGGGGTTGGGATGATGCATGGAGCACTGACATCTCCATGAAATTGGGGTGCATTTGTGCAGGACCACATGCCAGGCTGGTGGACATGCCAGAGTGGCACGATCCCCATGCCCAGTGTGCACCACACTCCACCATGTTGCTGATGTGAAAGCTAAAGCTGAGCTCCTCATTCTCTAGGAGCTGCTACTGCCAGGGATATGTGATTGGACTTGGTGAAGTGAGTGATGTTTTTAATTAAAAATTCATCCTTAATCAGCCACCTGGCTAGACCAGACGGGCATTTTGCATGGCAGTAAAAGGATGAGCTCTCAGGGGAAGGAGGGCAGCGGGTGCAGGTCCCCCAGGCCCCTGGCACAGTGACCAGGGCTCCTGCCCAGCCACCCCAGGCTGCCACCACACCCCCGCAACCAGGCCGGCTCCCCATCGCCATTGTCCCCAAACCCCTAAACCCACCACCACCACCGAGGCCCTCACCAGCTCACCCCCCCTTCTGACCTGCCCACTCCATCCCCACCATCCCCTACAGACCCCCCACAGCCACCCCCTCTGGCCAGCTGGGCCTCAGCTCCCAAGCAGCAGGTTTAATTAGATTGCAATCCTATTACATAGCTGCCTGCCTGCCTGCAGTTGCTAATCCTGTTAGCCATCCAGTAAATCTCCCCATGCCGGGCTCCATCCCCGGGGTACTGGGATGGATGCTGCTGGCAGGTGGGCTCTGCTGAGCCAGGATGTTCCCGCCAAGGTGCAGAGCTTTGCCTGGGGACTCAGCCCTGAAGAAACCTGAGGGGCTGGAAAGAGCCCAGGGGGGTGGAGCAGTCCCCAGAGGGGTGAGAAGGGGCAAAGGGATTTCCCCTCTTCTCTCTGATCCATCTTGCCCCCTCTGAGCTACAGGAGCAGGGTGGAAATTCCGTGTCCTTGGGCCACACACACAGCCCAGGTGTTTTCCACCACACCACAGTCATCATTGGCTCCAGTGGGTGCTGCGCCTGTGGGGCTGACCACGGTCTGGGACAAGGAACAGGGGCTCAGGCGGGGTTGTCCCAACCAGCTGGGGGTTACAGTCCATGACTCTTCCCACTGATGCTCAGTGCCCTGCAGAGACTGCTCATGGCTAGTGGCAACAGAGACACAGGCTCACTCCTCCACTGCTCCCAGGCTGGTGTGTGGGGTGCCAAGGGGGGCTGCTCTGGGCAGCAGAGTGACACCAGTGGGTTGTGGGCTCCTGGGGATGTGGCCCTTGAAGGCAGTGCGCTCTCAGACCTGTGCATCACCACACAGCTACCCCCAGGGCTAAGGGCTCCCTGCGGTCCTGCCAGCTTGGGGGAGACCCCAGATGCCCTGGCACAGCACAGCTGCCCCTGGGCCAGGCATTAAAGCCCTCCTGTGAGAGGACAGTGCCATAGCAAAGTCATCCCAACTCTGCAGCCTGCCCTGCAGCCAGCCAAAAGACTGCAGCCTCTGAAACCCACTTCTTGCTGGCCACCTTGCTCTACATCGGAGCTGTGTCAGCCCCAGAGTAGCCCACCACAGAGTAGCAGCTCTTGCTACAGACCCCTGAGCGAGAGCCAGAGACCATTGCCATTACGCACTCTGCACCTAGCCATGTCCCCTGGGCACCTCCATGGCCCGGCAAAGAGAGGAGCATGGCCCCAGCTCAGCCTTCAGCACCCGCCCCCCAAGCTCAGCACCGGACTGAGCCACAGCAACTCCTGGAGACAAGTTCAATCAGGTTGTAATTGCAAGAACAGGGCAGCACGGGTGGCTCTGTGCCCACTCAGAGGAGTCCTGGCGCTCCCAGGGATGGGCAGCCAGTAAAGAGAGTGAGTGCTGGGCCCCATGGGGCTGCTGTCTGTGTCGGAGGAGTCCAGACTGCCGTCAGCATCAGCTGGTACAAATACTGTTGATGGAGGCCACAGCCGGATCGACAAGCCCCAGCTCCTCCTGTTCATTGACGCAGAGCTGGTACCCACAGCCCTTGCGCCGGGGCAGCGGCCCCAGGCGCCCACTGGGCTTGGCACGAGGTGGCAGCAAGAAGCCGACGCTGCCGGCGATGAGCAAGTGCCAGATGCTGTGGATGTAGAAGTAGTTCTCCTCCGTCTCAACGAAGGCATAGAGCAGCACGGCAGCCGCTGCAATCAGCGCTCCTGGGCACAGGTAGAAAGCCCAGCGCTTCCAGGTCGGTGGGTAGCAGTGGCGGCGTCGGATGGTGCGAGCTGTCTGTGGTGGGGAAAGGGGGGGCTGGAAGAGGCAGCCCCAGCAGGGACGGGCACGGCCCCTGTGCCGTGGTGCCACATCCCCCCAGGAGCCAGGAGGGGGGTTCATGGGGAAGGGGAGATGCTGGCAGGGGAGTGGGACTGGACAGCTGGGCAGGATGCTAGGCACAGCTGGGATGGGGACATAAGAGGACAGAGACAGCATCTCCTTACCCAGGCGATGGCCATGATCCCTAAGGCGAAGAGGCTGGGACCCAGCAGGTTCCAGAGCCCATGGCGGTCCATCTGCAGAGCCATGGAGAGCAGCATGGCCCCCAGCAGGTACAGCACCTGTGGGGCACCCGTCAGGATCAGTACCCTCCATGCACACTCTGCGCTCCCCCTCCCCGCACTTGCCTGTTTGACCACAGGCTGGAGCCGGGCCATGGCGATGACAGTGACCCAGACGGACATGAGGGAGCCCAGGAAGTCACAGAACTGCAGAACATCATAATCCATGATGCAGAAGACCACAATGCCTGGCTGGTCACAGGCGTGGTAAAACTGGGGTTGGAGGAAAAAGATGTGATAACCACCCCACAGAGCCCCAGCCCTTCGTCTGCACCCCCATCCACCTCTACTCCATCCTCACCGTGGAGAAGAACATGGTGAAGATGTAGACGGCAGCTTCCATGAGGTAGTGGCTGCGGACAGCGATGGCCACGGGAGGCACGAACATGACATTGCTGAGGCACAGCAGCAGCGTGGAGAGGAGCTGGAAGCCATAGGAGAAAGCCTCCGCGTTGTCTGTGCAGCCCCAGCCATTCCAGCCTGTGGCCGCGGAGAGCCGCCGTCACCCCTGCAGCACTCGCAGGGGCTGGTAAGGGAGTGGGGAAGCCCCTTTCCAGCACCATGCAGAGAGCTGGCACAGGGGGACTCATGGGGTGCACAGCCCCCAGGGAGTAGGGGAGGATGCCAGGGGCATCCCTGGATGCAGTGGGAACCGTAAGTGCCCGGGGCAGCTCTCACCAGCTTTGCATTCACAGGCAGCATACAGGTAGTTGTTGGTACGCAGCAGCTTGCACTGGCCATAGATGCCACAGTCATTGATGCAGGGCGAGAGGTAGGCGCGCAGGTACACCTCGGCCGTCACGTTGGTGCAGGGCTCAAAGCTGCAGCGAAGGAGAAGGGGCTCAGCCCTTACCCTGCGCCCCTCAAGCAGCTCCTGCCTCCAGCACAGGCACCCATCGCACCCAGACTTGGTACATGATGGGAGACCCAGGGACTGAGCAAGCACGGAAATGAGCTGCTTTGGTGATACATATGGCAGCTGAGAGCTGGTCCCCAAGGATCTTGTGGGCTACAATTGTCTGTGCCAGGCTGGGTGAGCAGGGGGAAGGGGGCCACGTTTAGAACCTCTTTGCCTTTAGCAACACACTCTGCTAGCTGCTATTTCATTTGGATTTTGCTGTGCAAACACCGTGCCCTGCAATGCCTGCATGTGACCCTGTTCTGGAAGGACCGACTGCAACTGGCAACTCAGTGTGAACTAGAAATGCAGCAGAGGAGTCAGAGCAGGCACAGCACCCCACTGCCCCGCGCCACCCACACAGAGGGCTCCAGGAACACCCAGCAACATGGGAGCACAGACCGGCCCATGTCCTGACAGCACACACCAGCTGCTGCACCTCAGCATGCACAAACACGCACACAGCCCTGTCTGCACACGCACACGTGTGTCTGCTGCCCCTGCGTGTGCTCCACTGTCAAATCCCCACATGTGCACGCGGAACACACACAGTGCTGTATGACTGCACAAACACATACAGAGAGCTGTCTGCATGGGTGCCCCCAAACACGCATGCAGTGCCGTCTGCATGCGTGCACCAAACGTGCATGCAGCACCATCCGCGTGAATGCACGGGACACCCAGTGCTGTCTGCGTGCATGCGCTGAACACACACAGAGCACTGCCTGCACTGCACAGAGCCTCACATGGACTCCAGCATGCACAGACACAGGCACACAACAGTCTTTCTCTTCCACAGGGCTCTCAGGCAGACACAAGGGCCAGGAGCTGAGCTGCAGACAAAGGACTGGTCCTGGCAGATGCTGAGCAGAGCAGGGGCACAGTAGCTGACCAGAGCTGTCCCCTCATAGGAACAGCCAAGCCCCATCCTCGCAGTGACTGCCCAGTCTCCTCCCGGGCATGGGTACAGATGGCCACTGCTGCGGAGACGGGCAGGCACCAACAGACACACGGCGCTCACAAGCTGACAGCCGCTTCCTAACCACGAGACAGAGGGAAGAGCCGCAGGGACCCACAGATGGTCAGGCAGGCGCAAGATAGAGCCATCCATGCCCACGCAGGCACTCACAGTGACACACAGCTCGTGAAGCCGCGTGCACACACGTGAGGGCTGACACACAGCACAGGGCCCAGGCACACCCACGGACACACAGCGCACGTGGATGCAGGCCACGGTGGGGACATCCCCTCTGGGCATGCAGGGAGGGGACTTGCCGGGGCTCTTACCCATGCTCTGTGGCACAGAGCGAGCGCAGGCTCAGGTACCAGCTGCCTGTCTGGGGGTAGGGGATCCGCAGGCGGCTGAGGCTGGCCGTGGCATTGACGGAGAGCAGGAAGCCTGCCAGGGACTCTGTGGGCCGGGAGAGCTCTGGGTGAGCTGGGCAGGGGGCAGCGCCGTCCCCTGGACACAGCTGGGACAGGGACAGAGCACCCTGTGCCAGGCTCATGGACCAGATGTCCCCACAGTCTCTGCCATGTCCCACCCAGCCTCTTGCTAGACACATGGACGGGTGTGACCCCCACAGCCGCAGCAGAATAGACACGCGCAGCTGAGCCTACCTGTCTCACAGGTGACCGATGTGTTGTCACCTGACGTCAGTGGGACTTCATGGTTCAGACATCCAAACACCGTCACGTTCTCGCCACACAGGGAGCTCTGATGGCAGAGGAGGAGACAGCCCTAAACTATTGCAGGGGACCTCCCCGGCTTTGACAACTAGCAGTGCCCTAACCCACTGCCCATCACCCAAGAACACCCCAACTCTAGGTCATCATCCTGCCCTTGGAGCACCCTAATCTGTGCTCCATTGCCCAAGAGCACCCCAAATCCTGTCCCGTGCCCTGCTGCAGCCTTGACATTACCCGTCTCCAAGATGGTGCCCCCTCAGGCTGCCCTGCCCTCTCTGGGATGCAGCATGGTCACTCACCACATTAAGCCGCAGCTCCAGGTTGAGCACCCCACCACTGTCCAGGACCGGTAGGAGGTTGATGACAAAGACAGCAGGGCGATCGGGTGGCACTGACACGTTGGGCCCAAAGAAGATGTAGAAGTGGACGGAGAAGGTGTCTAGCTCATTGCGCAGTGTGGGGCGGACTGGCCAGCACCGCTCACCGGCAGACGAGGCGGTGGGGATGGGGTCCGGGTGCTTTGTGCCATTAGGGCTGGCAGGTGGAGGGCTGTCCCCCATTGCCAACCCACCCAAGGCGCCAAAGGAGTGGGGCATGTTCATGGAGGCGCTGGAGGGCAGGAAGGGTGGCCGAGCCAGGCTGGGTCGGGAGCAGTCTGCGGGACAGAGCCATCAGCCTCAACACCACACAGCCCTTCCAGTCCCCTCTTAGCTCTCACCTCCCCTTCTTGCCCACTTCCCATCTCCACCTGCAACCCAGCCACACCTCCCAGTGTTCCCATCCCAGCAGAGCTCCCAGCTGGGGCCAGATCCTGTGGGCATCCTTTAACTCCCAACCCAAGCAGAGTCAAGATCATGCCACCCACCCATACCTCCCCGTGTGCCCTCACCTGTGAGCTGCACGGTGACCTGGAAGGAGACTGTGCCTGGCACCCCAGGGTGTTTCTCCACCAGCACGTAGTACCAGTGCTGCCAGAAGGGCAGGTCCAGCTCCAGCTGGCAGGGAGTGTGCTCCCGGCAGTCCAGTGCTGTGGAGTTGTGCAGGGGGGGAGCCTTGGCTCGCACACGCAGCCAGAGTGGGCAGCCCTCAACCCCGCGGCACCGCAGCACCTCCACTAGCACTCGCGACGTGTAGCTGGGCACAAACACCCTGTGGGACAGTGATGTCAGGTCCTGACCCCCAGCATGGACCAATGGGGCTGGGAAAGCAAGCCATAGGGATGGGACACCCTCAGCTCCCCACCCTGGGTGTGCCCCCTCCTTAGGAGACCCTCCCACACTCACTTGTAGAGGCAGGAGCGGTTGTGGGGAGCCATGCTCTGCTCGGTGACGTAACCAGGGTACAGCACGGCAATGTTCACCAAGCGCTGCACGATGAGCTGTGGCTGGAAGAGATACTGGCACTCCTCATAGAGCCCCTGCACCAGCAAGACAGTCAGAATAGGGCAGCGGGCACTGTCCCCACGTGGACACCTGCCCTGGGCAGTGCCAGCCCAGGACAGTCAGAGCCCAGCAGAGCTCTGCAGTGAGCCCTGACACCCCACAGTGCCCCCAAGCCCTTCACCTTGACGGAGATCTTGCCTTCATCTTTGGGCAGGTGGGCAGCCAGGAACCAGTCCCCAGGCAGCGGACTGGTGACATTGAACACCCCCGTGGTGCGGTTGGGCAGGGTCCAGGTCAGGGTCAGTGCAAAGGAGCCAGGGACTGCCGTGTCCCTGGGGAAGTGTGTGTGCAGTGGGTTAATGACGGAGGGAGCCCCTGAGCGGAAATACCTGCAGGAGAGACAGCAGTGAGCAGATAGCAGAGACAGGGCGTCTGTCCTCTGTGCTATTAGGAAGCTCAAAGACATCAGGGGAAGCCATCTGTAAGCTGGGACCCTGCTGGAGACTATGATCTTCCCCAAGTGGGTGTTCAAGCAAAACTGTTCATGTACGAGATGCACAAAAGAGAGGAGCCTGCAACGGTCCTGGGAAGATGAATCATGGGGAGTGAGCATGCATGTCTGCGTGTGTGCGTGTCTATGCACATACACATGTGGGTGCACGCATCTGTGCACACGTGTGTACCCGCATATGCATGCATGTGCATGAGTGCTCCTCTGTATGTGTGCATGCCTATACACATGTGCACACGTGCAGGTGCAAACAAGAAGCAGACAAGAGCAGGCAGGCTCCAAGGCAAGTCCAGGCAGGGGCAGCAGGGGCAGGCAGAGGCAGGCAGAAAGGAAACAGACAGGGCAGGCTGCTTACTCACACGGTGATACTACGGTCTGGACATTGATCCCCAAATGTGCCACCCTGCTCCTTGAAGGTGATAAGGTTCCAGACGGCGATGACCGTGTCCTCGGGGATGTGGAAGTGGAAGAGCTCGATGCTGGCAAAGGAGCGGAAGGGGCTGAGCTTGCGTGGCGTGCGGGTGAAGTAGTCTGTCACAAAGAGCCCATCTGCAGAGGAGACCCAAGGGACTCTCAGCAGCGTAGAGGACTGCGGTGGGTGGTGTAGCACCCCTCCCAGACCCAGCTCACCCACCCAGGCTTTGAACATGTCCCAAAACCAGCAGCCTGCAGGCAGGGACAGTGCCATTTCAGTGAGTCCCCAGGGCTGATATCAGCTGTGCCCAGCTGCATCTCCCAGCCCTGGCAGAGCATTGCCTCGAGCCCAGTTCCCCAGGCTGTGAGCACTCATACTCTGGAGCCCTCGGAGCCCTCAGCCCTGGCTGCTCAGGCTCTGACCACGTGCAGCCCACCTCTTTCAACTCATCTGCTTCAGTGAGGACCTGCTGCCTGCATTTTACCTGTAATAAATGGCCATTCCTCATGGCTCCAGCCCAGCCCCAACAGGTCAGATCCCACAGGGACATAGATTCCCCCCTTCTCTGCCTGTTGAGGTGGCTCAGCACAGAGCCCATCATAAACCACAGTCCCACCCTAGAGCCACGAGTAGAAGCAGCGAGCAGTACACTTACTGCACAGGCTCTCAGCTCTCCCATGGTTTGCGGAGGAGGAATGGTGCACATATGTGTGCACATATGCACACGTGGGTGCTGTCTGCGTACACGGCAAAGTGGAGGCTTGCACACCCACGTGCATGGGTGTACAGGGCTGTACACAACCCCATGTCTGCAAGACACTTCCTGCAAGCCCACAGCATGCACTGGGGCCACCTCCCCCTCCCCAGCTGTCTGACAGTTTGACTTTCATGGATTTCCAGGAGCCCTGGCAGCAGAAGGGCAGCCACTTCCTTGTCACAGTAGAGGAAAGGGAGACCTGGTCTCCAGACAGCAGCCATACGTTCAGCCTAACATTGCCACACTTCCCCAGTCCCAGCCTGGGAGACCCATCCATCATGCCCCAGAAATGCAGCAAGGATGAGATGCTCCTCTGCAAAAGCTGCCAGCAAGAGGGATGCGAGCAGAGGAGGGGCTGGGAGCAGGGCTGTGCCCAGGAGAACTTGTCCAGTGGAGAGTGGGATAGCTGAAAAGGGCAGCTTTGCACAGCATGTGCCTGGCTGGCAGTACGTGCATGTGCTTGTGTGCACGTGTGTTTGTGCTGCATGTGTGCAGCCCCAGCCGGCTGTACACTGACATGCATCTGCTCTCTTGCCTGGAACAAAGGCAGCTCCCCCTCCCCTTCACTTCCAGCCGACACAAGCCATGCATGAAATACCTGTCTCAGTGAAAGAGCACCCAATCCTAATTTCCCTGCCATGAATCACCAATCCACTCGGCAGCTCCCCTCCCCACGTGCGGGCAGTGACCTGGCAGGGGACCCCGGGGAGGAGGAGATGTTGAACGCAACTCTAGGAGGTGGCATGGCGGGAAGCTCTCGGAGCTTCCCGGTCCCAGCGCGGTTTCCCCTCTGCCCACTCGCCCAGGGCAAGGCAGGGAGAGCCAGCTGCAGGCAGAGGGTCAGTCTGAAGCCCCGTGGCGGTGTGACCAGAACACGGGAGAGTGGCTGGAGGACGGAGAGGGGTTCCCTATCCATGGAAGCGAGGGGAGAAGGAGGAAAGCAAGCGTCCCTCTGCCTCAGGACAGCGGACGGAG